TAAAGATGTAAATGGATTAAAGTTGTAAACCTTCGGGGGCTGGAGCGATAGCACAGCGGGTAGGGCGTTTGCCTTGCACACGGTCGACCTGGGTTCGATTCCCAGCATCCCATATGATCCCCTGAACACCGCCAGGAGTAATTCCTAAGTGCAGAGCCAGGAGTAACCCCTGTGCATCGCCGGGTGTGACCGAAAAGCAAAAAATAAAAAATAAAGTTGTAAACCCGAGTCTCTAAAACTTATAGAAGAAAATATAGGACAAATGGCTTTGGTTTTATGTAGCAAGATAGCATTTATAGACTGAAACTTGCAAAGAAAGATACGAGGAGAGTAAGAGAGAAAATACATGTTTAGGAGAGAACACGGGCTTCTCCAGAGTCAAAAAAAATACAAAAAAGATACATAAAGATAAACAAATAAGATATGTTCAAGGGAGAACAGGACTTGAAGAGGAGGGTAGAGAAAAGCTTTTTTGACATTGATTTAATAGTTGCTTTTTGGATGTATTAACAAAAGACCGAGCCCAGTAAATTATATCATCTTAAAGCTTTTCTGTATCAGAATGGAAATAATAAACAAAATGTAAAAGCAACCCACAGAATGGGAAAAACATTTGCAAACATATATCTGATAAGAGGTTACTATTCAAAGTGTATAATGTATACAATCACTAACCAAAAAAAAAGTCCTGACAAAGGAGCAGTTTTCCATGGAAGACATACAATTGATCAGCAGTCATTTAAAAAGGTGTTCAATACTACTAATCATCAAAAATGCAAATCAAAACCTAAGTGAGTTTATCATCTCATATCTTTTAGGAGTCCACGCCAGGCTGTTTTCACTCGGGGAACCCCAGAGTGGGGCAGGTGAGAGCCCTCCCAACCCCAAGGGATCCAGCCCCAGCAGCTGACCTCCACTACCCAACAGCCGCCATGCTCCAGGCCGCTTTCCAGACTGTGCAGCCGTGAAGAGACACATTATAAGACATTCCTATCCATTTTCCATAATTTACACAGCATATTTGATGGGGTTCAGACAGAAGGCAACAAATCATAGAGAGAAATATATAATTATATGCCTCTCAGAGAGCCTGGCAAGTTAGTAACCTGCCCGCACAGGAAGAGCCTGGCAAGCTCCCCGTTGGCGTATTTGATATGCCAAAAACAGTAACAACAGGTCTCCTTCCCTTGGTCCTGAAAGAGCCTCCAATAGTTGGGAAAAGATGAATAAGAAGAGAGTGCTAAAATCTCAGGGCTGGGAGGAATAGAGACGTTACTGGCGCTCGCTCGAGTAAATCAAGTAACAATGGGATGACAGTGATACAGTGATCTTTTAGGATGGCTAATGACAAAAGTAAAAAATATGACAAGCATTGGCAATTATGTAGAGAAAATAATTATCACATACTTTGATGAGTTACAAATTATTTGGTAGAGCCACTTTGGAAAAAAGTCTGGTGCTTCCCCTAAACAATTGTAAACATACATATTGAAACAAATATATGTTCTGAACTAGAATATATCTATTTATTGCAATAACATGGTTTAACATGGTTTTACATGTACGAAGAAATACAATAATGTATAATCTCTCTTGCATGTGAATTATAAAATTATAACATTCAGAGGTGCACAGAATAGAAAAGTGACTAGCATGGGTGAGGGTGTGGTGGGAAGAAAAATATAGAGATTCTGGTGAAATGATATAAATTTAATGTTTTACAATAAATATTTTATGAGTACTTGATAAAAATATGATGCTGATTATAGATAATAATGTAATATAAACCGGGAATTTGCTAAGAAAGTATGACGAAATTATCACCTCATACCTAAAACATGGAAATAAGACAAGGGAAAACAAATGTTATTTAGAATGCAGATTAAAAAACAGAGCCCTGGGCTGGAGCAATAGCACAGCGGGTAGGGCATTTGCCTTGTATGTGGCCAACCCAGGTTTGATTCCCAGCATCCCATATGATCCCCCGAGCACTACCAGGAGTAATTCCTGAATGCCTGAGGCAGGAGTAACTCCTGTGCAACGCTGGGTGTGACCCAAAAAGAAAAAACAAACAAACAAACAAACAAACCAAAACTGGAGCCATTTCTCACTGCATTTGAAGACCAGTGTGGAGATTCCACAAACAATTGCATCAATGAAACAGTAATATTATCCAACAATCTCACTTTAGAATATATGTATATACATATATATAAAGGAAATTGAAACAGTTTACTGAATAGAGAAATGCAGTTCTATGTTTACTGCATATTTGTTCACATAAGACAAAGAAACAGGGGCTGGAGCCACAGTACAGAGGGCAGGGTATTTGCCTTGCACGTGGCCAACCCAGGTTCAATTCCCAGCATCCCATATGGTCCCCCACCACCACCAGGAGTAATTCCTAAGTTCAAAGCCAGGAGTAACCCCTGTGCATCACTGGGTGTGACCCAAAAAGAACAACAACATCAAAAAAGACAAAGAAACAGGGTTGGGTAGATTGCTCAAAGAACTGGTTTGTATGCTTGCATGTTGAAGCCCCAAGTTTGTTTTCTTTGTGGGGTACATCTGGCATTGTTCAGGGGGTAAATATTCGTTCGGCACTCAGGAATTACTTCTGGTGGGGCTCTGGGGATCATATGGGATACCAGATATCAAACACAGGTTGGCTGTGTGCAAAGCAAGTTCTCTATCTGCTGTACTATCTCTCCAGCACTGAAGTCCCAAGTTTGACCCCTGAGCACTTAGCAAGGAGTAATCCCTAAGAATTGTTGCGCATAACCCAAAAAAACAGCAGAAAGTTATTGAAACAACTTATATGCACAATAACATTCGAGTGGATAAAGGTTATATCTGCATATAAACTTATATATGTGCTCATATGGGCATACATATATACACACACACATACACATATCTTCAGCCAGGAGCAAAGGGGAAATTCTTCCATTTGCAATAGCGTGAATGAACCTTGAGGACATTAAGTGAGATTTCATAAAGAGAAAGGCAAATATTATATCATATGTATAATGTGGAATCTAAAAAAATTTGAAATTCTAAAACCAGATGTAAAATGTAGGTTATCAAGGAATGAGTTCTACGGGAATTAGAAAGATATTGTCTAAGGGAACATACTTGCAACAATTAGATAAATAAGTCCTAGAGACCTAATACATAGTACACTGTTTATAATCAACAAAAGTGTATCATAAAAATTAAATTTGTTGAGACTAAATCTTACTTGTTCCCCAAATTAGAAGAAATCATAATTATATACCCTAATAGCTAACATGATAATGGCAATCATATTAAAATACAAATGTAAATATAAATGTATCAAATTGGTATACTATAAAACTTAAATGTACAAAATGTATGTTAAATATACCTCAAAACTATCAAATTAGTAATTATATGAAGTGATGAATGTGTTAATTAACTTGACTTTTGTAATCATTTTAGAAAAAAGTCACATCATACACCATAAGTTTATACGTATTTTGTCTGTTGTCAATAAACCTGGATGAAAAGAATACTTATGTATACAAGTCAGACCCTTAGTGATCGAATACTTAATCAGGATATTGATATAAATACTGCAGTAGCTTAAATGTTTTCATTTCACTGCATTATCAATTTAACTATCTGACATGAAGTATTTTCATCTGAAACGAAACAAGTTCTTATGGAAGTTTACTGCATGTAACCGTGTTAAAAGAACAGAGAGCATCATTCTTAACACTTTTCCTCCCAAAATGCAATAACAGAGAAAGTGAATTAAATATTGACCTCAGTAAAACCACACTTTTCTTCATGTTACAGATCTTTTAAACACTTAAAACTAAATATTATCAAATCTGCAAATGCTAGAAGCCTACTATACTTCCATTATTTTATTTGAATCATTGAATATCTATTGCTATGATAACATTAGTTTCTTGGGAACAGGCCCCTGTTTCAACATCCTCTTTATACCAAATTGATCTAACACAAAGTAACCTCTTCAAAACATGGTTGAATTAAATAACCCCCTAACTCATCTACTTCTAGATCATTTTTTCTCCCTAAATCCTGCCAGTAATTTTACAAAAGTACATCTAATATAATGTCATTCCATTGCCCCCAAACCTTTCATAAATATACTTTAGAGGATTATCTCCGCACACCACAGCAGGGCATATAAGGACCTTCACACCCTGTCCTCAATCTATAGTGCCAGTCACTCCCAGTCTCTTGTCTTCACAAATCCATCCTGAAGTCAAACTAGGCAGGTGTCCTAGAAAAGTTGGGATTTCTCATTTTTATATGCCTTTGCAAATACTGTTTCTTTTGTCCGAAAATCCCTACCCTCTCATCTGTCTGGCACTCTTATTTATACTTTCGTAGCTCCTCACAGAATTGTTTTCCCAACATGTTAATTTCTGCAGAAAATGTACAAAGCTGATGAAGGGGGAAGGGAAGAAAAAAGGAAGGGAGAGTGCTGTCAATAGATATGGTCAAGCAGTTATTGTGGCTCTACCAGTTAAAAAAATCTTATTCAAACAGCAGTGGGAGAATGGGGTTGAGTGACCTTTAAGTGGGATGTTTGGATTTTCACCTTTCATGCATGTATGAATGATCAAGGGGCAAGGGTGTGAGGGAGTGAGAGAGAAATGGACACGGAGAGAAAGCGATCAGCGAGAAAACGAGGGAGGACGCAGTACAGTAAAAGCAGATGGGCGGGCTCAAATTTCTTTACAGTTTTGCTGAGTCCACCGAAGCCCTCTAGAAAGTGGGTGGGAGAGAAGGAAAGAGGACGGGCCTACACTCTCTTAGAGAGTGCCCAGCCTCTCTTGCCAGAGGGATTACCTTCCGCTCCGACATGACCAGTTCCTCCACGCCATGACTCATACCTATTGTGGTAGGTCACTGTGTTCTGCCGCCCCACAGGTGGTATCGCCTCGGTGAGAAGGTTCCCGCCAGGCTGGCCAGTGGAGTGCCGCTCAGCGCGCCAACCCGCCTCCCAACTGCAGCACCAGCAGTTCCTACCCAGAACCAGCAGGCCTGCTCGGTCGATCTTCGAGTAGAGGATGCGGCGGGGCTGGAAGATGGCTCTGTCCGGGGGTCTAAGGTGCTGCCGCCGAGTACTTTCCTGGGTGCCGGTAATTGTTATCGTTCTGGTGGTGCTCTGGTCGTACTATGCCTACGTCTTTGAACTCTGCTTGGGTAAGTGAAACTGGGCACTTAAAGTGGGGAAATTAGACTCCAGCCTAATCATCTGCCCCACCCTTTCACATGGGTGTCCCTTGTGTTCCCAGTCCTCACAATGCAATCCGCATTGTATTTCCTTTATCTTCCTGGATCTGTAGGCCTCTAGATACTGATTTACTGAGATCTTTCTGTGCCGGCTCATGGAGGGTGGGGGCTGTCCTACCACCGCACCGTCGCTTCCTAGTTACGATTTCATACACTGTTCCCTGGGCTTACCCATAAGAATTAACTGGCTCTTTCCTCTAAGGCACCCTTTTCTCATGCTGGACAAACAACTTGTGCCTTGTGTTCTTTCTGGAGGCTCCCACTATATCCAGTTGAGGAAACAACATATCTTGTCCCCTTGAACTATCTTCTTCATAGTGTGTTAATAATGTGGACATATGCATTCCACTAAAAGACCCATAACTTCCCAATCTCTTCTATGAGGAAACCCCCCAATTTTCCTGTATTCTTCTTTTTCTAACATTGGAATCCATTCTTTCCTCCTTATCTTCTTCACTGGCTGGAGTGCTTCAACCTACAATGCACCTTGTTTAAAAAGGTTCATCCACTTTCCTTCTTTCCCACCCACTTTCTAGAGGGATAGATGCTGCAGTGGACCTCTGGGGTCTTTATTTTTCATAAAATGGTAAGTTGTCCATAGTCGTTACCTGTGAGTTGCATCATTTTCTTATCTTCTCCAATAGAATGGGAGATCCGAAATATATCCTGGCCTATCCCATTACTCTAGAGGCCATAATTTTATCACACTGGGATTCCCATAGTAACTTCTTACTGCTTTAGCGTGCATTTACTCTTTTCCAACAGAGATGCCACACAAGAGTGCCCACAATTTCTTTATTACCATTCCAAAAGCCACCACTTACCTGTTTATGACTTCCTTTGTATTTTTTTAAAACCTATACCCTACGTCCTGCAGTCCCCCTGAACTGTTAGACCACATTTTCTCATCTTCCTTGGGATTCTTGTTATTTTATTTTCCTTTTCCCTGTTTCTGTACATGGCTAGTCTTCTCAAACGGAGGAAACACCATATTTTTCACTGATTTCTAAATGAGATCTCCACTGAAGAGATCTCCAATGAGAGCCTCATTCCTTGCACCTTGTCATTATACCACCTTTTAATATATTTGGTTTATCTCTCATACCTTGTTCTAACACTGAGAAGCATTCTATCCCTTCCTAACTGTAAAATGATTCCTAGAACTATGCTATGTTTTCAAAATCTCAAACTTAGAGTTGCACAGTAATTCCTAATTCAAACCCCAAGACCCTATTTTTAAAAAGTTTCTCATTTGGGTATTTGGGTTGATGGGATTAAATATGGACCACATCGTAATTACTTTATGATTACTTTATTACTTTACTTCATTACCTTATGATATTCTTTTAATTCACAACGAAGTTTTCCCAATATTGCCCTTTCTCTTTATAGCAGAGTCTCTGCTATTCTCACAATGAGATTTCTGCTTGGCATTATCTTCTCACCTTGAAGAATCTCTCATTTCAGTGGGATCCTAATAATATGTATTGCCATTTCTATAATAGAATTCTACTTCTAGTACACTTAAACTCATACTCTTTATCATCATATTTAGTAATTTTTTATTAGTGAAACACCGTGAGGTGCAGTTGTAGACTTACAAACTTTCATGCTTGGGTTTCAATTATATAATGATTGAGTACCCATCCCTCCACCAGTGCCCATTCCCCACCACCAATGGTCCCAGTAGCCCTCCCACCCCTCCACCCCATCCCCTCACCCCACCCCGCTCTCTTTGCTCTCTTTTTCCTTTAGGGTGTTGCAGTTTGCAATAGAAGTATTGAGTAGCCATCCTGTTTGGTCTGTAGTCTACTTTCAGCATGCATCTCGCATCCCGAGCGAGTCATCTAAACGTCCTTTACTTGGTGTTCCCTTCTCTATCTGAGCAGCCTTTTCCCCAGCATGTGCTGCTGGATTACAAGCCATGGAGCAGATCTCCTGGTGCTTATCTCAACTATTCTTGGGAGTTCGATTCCCATTCTTTTACTTTATATTCCCCAGGTGAAGTGTAGTCTCTATGTCAGTCCCTCTCTTTCTGGCTCATTTCACTTAGCATGATACTTTCCATGTAGAACAACTTATATGTAAATTTCATGACTTCATCTTTTCTAACAACTGCATAGTCTTCCATTGTGTAGATGTACCAAAGTTTCTTTAACAAGTCATCTGTTCTCGGGCACTTGGATTTTTTCCAAATTTTGGCTATTGTGAGCAGTGCAGCAAAGAACATAGAAGTGTAGATGTCATTTCAACTGTACTTTTTTTGCCTCTCTGGGATATATTCCCAGGAGTGATACTGCTGAGTCAAATGGGAGCTCAATTTCTAATTTTTTGAGAATCGTCCATACTGTTTTCCAAAAGGGCTGAGCCAGTCGGTATTCCCACCCAAGGAGGATCCCTTTCTCGCCACATCCGCGCCAAACTGGTTGCTTTTGTTCTTTTGGATGTGGGCCAGTCTCTGTGGTGTGAGATGATATCTCATTGTTGTTTTGATCTGCATCTCCCTGATGGTTAGTGATGTAGAGAATCTTCTCATGTGCCTTTTTGCCATTCGGATTTCTTCTTTGCGAAAGTTTCTGTTCATATCCTCGCCCCATTTTTTGATGGGGTTGGATGTTTTCTTCTTGTGGAGTTCAACCAGTGCTTTGTATAACCTTGATATCAACCCTTTGTCGGATGTGTATTGGGTGAATATCTTTTCCCATTCTGTTGACTGTCTTTGTATTTTGGTCACTGTTTCTTTTGAGGTGCAGAAGCTTCTTAGTTTAATTAGTCCCATTTGTCTATCTCTGTTTTCACTTGCTTGGCCTGTGGTGTGACATCTTTGAAGATACCGTTCGCTTCAGTGTTGTAGAGGGTTTTGCCAACCTTGTCGTCAATGTGCCTTATGGGTTCTGGTCTGATGTTGAGATCTTTAATCCATTTTGATTTTAGTTTTATACATGGTGTTAGGCAGAGATCTGAGCCCATTTTTTTGTATGTAGTTGTTCAGTTTTGCCAGCACAATTTATAAAAGAGGTTCTCCTTGCTCCACTTCACTTCTCTTGCTCCCTTATCAAAGATTAGATGATCATATATTTGGGGGTAGGTGTCAGCATATTCAACCTTGTTCTATTGGTCTGCAGTTGTGCCTTTGTTCCAGTACCATGATTTTTTTAAATTATTACTGCTTTGTAGTAGAGTTTGATGTTAGGGAGGTTGATTCCTCCCATTTTATTTTTCACAAGAATTGCTTTAGGTATTCGTGGGGGCTTATTGTTCCATATGAATTTCAGGAGTGTTAGCTCCATTTCTTTGAAGAATGTCATGGGTATTGCTATAGGGATTGCATTGAATTTGTACAATGCTTTGGGAAGTATTGCCATTTTGATGATGTTAATTCCCCTGATCCATGAGCAGGGGATATCTTTCCATTTTCTCGTGTCCTCTTTTATTTCCTGAAGTAGCATTTTGTAGTTTTCCTTGTACAAGTCCTTTATTTCCTTAGTTAAGCTAATCCTAGATAGTTGATTTTCTGGGGCACAATTGTGAATGGTTTTTTTTTAATGTCACTTTCTTCTCTCTCACTATTTGTGTATAGGAAAGCCATGGACTTTAGGGTATTGATTTTACATCCTGCAACTTTACTATACAAGTCTTTTGTTTCTAGGAGTTTCTTGGTAGAGGTTTTAGGGTTCTCTAAGTATAGTATCATATCATCTGCGAATAGTGGGAGCTTTATTTCTTCCTTTTCTACCTGAATGCCCTTAATATTTTTTTCTTGCCTAACCGTTGTTGCAAGTACTTTCAGTACTATGTGGAACAGCAGTGGAGAGAGTGGGCATCCTTGTCTCATCCCTGATCTTAGAGGGAAGGCTCTCAGTTTTTCCCCATTGAGGATGATGCTTGCTATAGGCTTGTGGTAGTTGGCTTTAACTATATTGAGGAAAGTCCCTTGTATTCCCATTTGGCGAGGGTTTTCATCATAAACGGGTGCTGGTTCTTGTCAAATGCTTTCTCGGCATCTATTGATATGATCATATGGTTTTTATCTTTTCTTTTGTTGATATGGTGGATTATGTTGATTGATTTCTGAATATTAAACTATCCTTGAATTCCCGAGATTAATCCCACTTGACCATGGTGTATGATATTTTTGATGAGTTGTTGAATTCTATTTGCTAGTATTCTGTTCAGAGTCTTCACATCCATTTTCATCAGGGATATCGGCCTGTAGTTTTCTTTTCTTGTGGTGTCTTTGTTTCCTTTTGGTATTAGAGAGATATGAGCTTTATAGAAACTGGGAGAATTTCTTTTTCTTCAGTTTCCTGGAACAGCTTGAGAATAACTGGCAATAGGTCCTCTTTAAATATTTGGAAAAATTCGATAGTGAATCCATCTGTACCTTGGCTTTTGTTTTTGGGAAGACTTTTGATTACAGTTTCAATTTCCTTGATATTAATAGGACTATTACAGTATTCCAGATCCTCTTGATTCAGCCTTTGGAGATTATAGGAATCCAGGAATTTATTCATTTCTTCTAGGGTCTCTTGTTTTGTGGCATACAGACTTTCAAAGTAGTCTCTGATGATCTTTTGAATTTTTTGGTTTCTGTTGTGATATCTCATTTCTGATTTGGTTTATTAGGGTTCTCTCTCTCTCTTTTTCTTTGTGAGTCTTGTTAGTGGTTTATCTATCTTGTTTATTTTCTCAAAGAATCAGCTCTTGGTTTCATTGATCTTTCGGATTGTTTTTTGGGTTTCCATGTTGTTGATTTCTGCTCTAAGTTTTATGATCTATTTCTTTCTGCTTGGTTTGTGGTTCTTTTGCCGGTCCTTTTCTAAGATTTTGATCTGTTAAGTCAAGTTATTTATTTATGTCTCTTCCTTCCTAAGAAATGCATACAGAGCTTTGAATTTTCCACTTAATAT